CCTCCCGGGGGGCTTCTGTCTTCCTGGCTGGATCCCGCCGCGTGCATCCGCCTTCTTTCCCACGGCCGTCTTGCGTCACCCTGTCAGCTAACAGGTGGAGGGCCCCGAGAGCTCCCCACTCGGGACTTTCCAGCCTGGAAGTGAGGAAAAACTGACGCCCACAGGAGCGAGCTCGCCTTGGCGGGGCTTGCAGGCAGGTTGCAAGGGCCAGGTGGAGGGATGAAGCCAAGGGGACGTTTCCAGAGAGGTGTAACCCCAGGACCCCAGGACCCCAGGATGAAGGCACCTCTGCGCCCTTTCTAGATACGAACCCAGCGTCCTGCGGGTGCATCCCCAAGAACTAAAGCTGCCCTCAGCGAACTTCTGGGTGGATATGAAACTGAGTGAGTCATGATAAAGTTAACTTCAGTGCCTCGTTTGTAGATTGCAGTGTGTACTGTATGTTGGCTTTGGCCAGGGCCTGGTGACAGACGCAGAGGGACTTGAACCACCAACTCAGTTTAGGAGGAAGCCAAGATTGAAGGTTTCCTTTCTCCCAGCATGTACATTCCCCATATTCTTTAATATACAACTTTCCTTTAATAAAACAAAACAAAATCCCCAGCGCCTTATTTTTGACATAGCTGCCATTCTTTTCTTGGACTCAATACAGCAAGTTTTGGCTGAAGCAGCTAGGAACTTAATTAGCAACTAATGTACCAACTTGTAGTAAACATCAACATTTGTCTATGTCATGAGGGAAAAAAAAAAAAAGACACCCACACTGAAAAATGGCAGCTTCATTTTAGTACAGAAGCCATATAAACATGCGTCCTTCAGGTTGCTACCCAGGCTTTCTGCCGCCCTGGGTGGCTGTGGGAACAGTATATATGCTTCATAATGAGAACCCCACCGTCCAGAATTTTATGGAGGTTGGAGGGGTCACTTAAGCTATCAGAAATATGGATTTAGGAAAAGTAATTTGTTAGCAAGCATATTTAATGATGTTTGGGGAGGCCAGGGAAACCTGGCCATGATTTTGACTTGATAAACGAAATTCAGTAGGATGTGGAGACAGGGGAACCCTTGTGCATTGACGGTGGGAATGCAGACTGGTGCAGTCACTGTGGTAAACAGTATGGGGTTCCCTCAAAAAGTTAAAAATGGAGCTGCCTTTTGACCCAGCGATCCCACTTCTGGGAATGTATCCTAAGAAACCCAGAACATCAGTCAGAAAGAATATATGTATCCATATGTTTATAGCAGCATTATTTACAATTGCCAAGATCTGGAAACAGCGCAAGTGCCTATCAGCAGATGAGTGGATAAAAAAGCTGTGGTACATCTACACCATGGAATACTATATGGCTATAAAAAAGAGGGAACCCTTACCCTTTGCAACAGCATGGATGGACCTGGAGAGTATTAAGCTAAGCGAAGTAAGTCAGTCAAAGACAAATACCATACGATTTCACTAATATGTGGAACTTAATGAACAAAATAAACTGACTAACAAAATGGAACTAGAAGCACGGATACATGGAACAGACTGGCAGGTGCTCCAGGGGAGGGGGAAGGAGGTGACTGGATAAAGGTGAAGGGAGTAGCTAAAGAATATATATGTGTACCTCAGGGACATGGACAATAGTTTGGTGAAGGCCAAGGGAGGGGGAGGAGAAGTGAGGGGAGATGGACAAAGTGGGTGGAAAGGAGGACACCTGCAGTTATGTCAACATTAAAAAATTTTTATTAAAAAAAAGAAATACAGTCTTTGTGTTTACCAGAGGCATATAAAATATCCAATTGAACACTTTATAGCAAATTTCTATATATCATAGCTAAGCCTTTTCCTTCCTCAAGTGATTGTACCCTACTTGAAGGAAGAACATATTTACACAGTAACCAGTACCATACAAATAGTAGGCCCTTGATGATTTCCCTGCTGAATGGGAATTTTATTTGCTTTGACTCTAGCTGAGGGCCTAATCTTAGACACACAGTGAAAGCTGCTGAAGTTCACCTTGGCCTTAGAGTCCAGCCTCATTTATACTATATTTTGTTTCTTCATAAAGCACTACTATATCTTTACTTGATGCTGGGAGTTAACCTTGTACGTAGGTTGAAGGGAATCAAATGAGATGATTCTACAGAAGTTTTTAAATTAATTTCAGCTATTGATTTTACAAAGATATCTTTTGGGGCTATTACATGAAAGTGCCCCCCACTCTGTGTGGGTATGTCTCATTCAGTATGTTAAACCAAAAACAAACAAGCAAGCAAACCAAAAACTCTGTCCTCTGGGAACCTCTTTTTAGAAATCTACCACAATCTTGACAGCACCCCTTGCTGGAGGAAGGAGGCTGAAAAACCAAAAGCCAAACCACAATCTCTCAAAATGTATCTTTTCTCTTCATCTGTATTTTTGCATCATGATTGACTTTATTTTGTTTTTTGTTTGAATAGTTATGTTTTCTTTTGTCCAGTTTCTTCTGATAGCTTTCATTTTCATCTTTCCTTTTTGTTTTCTAAATGCAAGTTTCCGTTTCCTTTCTCCTTTGAGATAGAAATCCTGCTGATCTAGATCTTTTTCTTTTTTCTAGACCTGCCTATTCTTTTTAAACTCAAAAGACACTTTTCAGTCTCCATCAGTTTATAAAAAACCATCTTTTAGCATTTTACTCTTTAAGCAGTATGTCAGGACTATACTAGATAACAGATTCCCATTGTTACACAACTTTTTATTTGAGTTTCCTACAATTAAGAAGTAGTAAAAATCGTAGCTGCCACTTTTTTGACAAACCAGAGCTACAACTTAATGGCCCCACATGGCAGTGATGCCTTTTCCAAAGAAAATGACAATAAATTTAGTTTAATGAGGAAATCCTTCTAGAATTATCATTCTTTTCCTTCATTTGTTTATTAATTATGTCAGTTAAGAGCGTACTCTTTGTAACTTTAATTTAGCCTAGACATATGGAGTTGTGGCTAAGCATAGAGACTCAGAGCTCAGGATGTCAGAATTCACATCTCAGCACCACCTATTAATTGCTGCGTGACCTTGAGAAAATCACCTCAAATTTCTCTGTTGTAAAATGAGAATGATACTAGTACCATGTCCTAAGGTTGTTGAAAGGATAGATTGTAAAGCACTTAGCACCAGGCCAGGAATATTACATTTTCTTTATAAATGACTGCCAGTATTCTTACACAAATAATGAATAAGAGATGGTACTATTCCTCGAAGAATGAACACTTTATGGAATAAAATAAATTAGTTATGTATATAAACCCTATATAATAACTAGTCATGTCATTGAGTTTCTAGAAGGTATTCCTTTTTGCAAGAAACAGAAGTTGGTATGCTGATTTAGCAGAAAAGTTTATTAAAAGACACGGCCACTACTTTATATCTCAAAAACATAAGTAGGTCCAAAATAGAAAGAGAAATTCATGATACACATTTTTAAATTACGTCCACAAATTCAGTTATAAAGGTCTGGTTTTAAGTGTGTACATGTGAAAGTTTTTCTACATAACAAACAGTTTTGGCCAAAGAAAGAAAGAAAGAATCAGGCATCAGTAGAAATTTTTCCAAATATCCATTTTTCCAAACGCTTCCTCCACGGCTTAAGTCTTTCCCAAAACAGTTACCTGCACATTTTTGTGAAAACAGTACCTTTACTTCAAAAGCATTGACTGGCTGTACTTCTTTGACTTTATTTTAAAATAAATGCTTAAGAGCAAACTACAGTCAAATGTAGAGTGCTGTTGCTTTTTCCTTGAAATCATGGTTGACGTTTAGCTGGTAGACACTTCGGAGTTTGCTCTCTAAACCTGTGTCCATTCTGATTGAGGGGTGACTGTTCTAATTCTTAGTACCACCTCATAGAATTAATTATTTCACCTCTGAAATATTATAACTGACAATGTTTTGAAGTAGGAGTAGGAGTGCTATAGAATGAGTTATTGAAATAAAATATTTGCATAAATTGACCCAAACTTTTGAATTGTTAAATCACAAAGGCTTGAACTAAAATTTAAAAAACAACAACAAAGTATTGTCAATTGAAAAATATTTTTATTATTAACACACTAAATTATATCAATTACATTTAAAATTCTTCTTTCGTTATTTGATTCCTTACTTTTTAATTTTTATTTATACTTTATGATGTTGTTAGAGTTGTACATGCAAAGATTTTCTAAATAAATATAAATTAAGATTCATGTTCAAATATTATTACTGATAAAGATCAAGAACAAAGTACTTGAAAACCACAGCTCTACAGAGCCTATCAAAGGCTAGAGATTGTGATGAATTTGAAAAGCAAGGT